TGTTGTCTTGTATTTCTAATTTCATGCATGAATAAACCTACTACTACTAAAGTTTTTTTTTTCTTCAATTTCTAAATTATCATCATGATGAATAGAAAAAACTTAATGCTTGTTTCCCCTTAGCATGAAAAAAAGTGTTAAAAACACCATGTTTTTTGTTTGTTTGTTTGTTTGTTATTTTAATTCTTAATTCAATTCATTAGATGTGAAATGGAATAAAGTTTGTTTGTTTTTTAATGATAACAACAACAACAAAAAAAAATAACAAAATTTGAATTTGAAATCATCATACAAAATTACAAACAAGGATTTATTTATTTGGATTTTGATTTTCGATTCTTGATTTGAATTTATTCATTTTCTCTAATGTTTTTGTTGTTGTTGTTGTTAGTTTGTTGATGAAATGAATTCAATCCCAGGTACAAAATTTATTTTCTTAATTTGAATTCTTCGTTTGAATTCACATTTTTTTTACTTTTGCCATCATCGATAATGAAGAAGAAATTTATAAAGAATTTAATTTGAATAACAAACAAGGTAGAAGATATATATCAGAAAAGAAACGAAAAAAAAAATTTACATAAAAATTGATTCAACCTGTTCATTTTTTTCCCTATTAACATATTATTAATGAGAAAGAAAGAAAAAAAAACATTAACATCATCAATGAATGTGGATGCAGATGCGGATGACATTCGGTTATGTGGAGAGAAATTAATGACAGCAGCAAAAAATTTTTTTTTCTTAAAAATTGAAATTTTTCCCCAATCACACCAAAAAAAAAGTAACTAACTAACTAACTAATGATGATGATGACATTATCATTTTGTATGAAGAATTTTTTTTTATCGATTGTTGTTGTTGTTGTTGTTGTAGTTGTTACTTGATTTTGTAATCAATAAAAGGAATAGTTATTGATCTTTCTTTGAATAGATTGATTGATGATATTGGATATTTTGTTTGCGCAAAAACTTCTGGTGAAAAGAAAAAAAGATTTACAAAAACCAAATGAAACAATGTATGTATGTAATGAATTATATTGAAACATTTAAGAAAATGTTTTCAGATGGTTTTTTTGGTTTTAAAAGAAACAAAACCAAACAAAAAAAACATTAATTTTTCTGCGATTTTGTTTTGTTTTTGGTTTGTTTTTCAGAAAAAAAATACAATTCATTCAAATCAAACGACAAACTTAATGGAATTTTGGTGTCCGTTTTTCTTCTTCTTCTTCTTTTGGATTTAACGAAATGTTTTTCTTTAAAGAATTTTTTTTTGTTTTCATTGTCTTGTTGAATGAATGAATTTTTGTTTTCAAATCCAAATTCAAATAATGATAATAATAAGAATCTATGATGATCATAGAAGAAAAAAACGATTAAAGAACCACACATACACACACACACAAAGAATTAAGTGTTACAAAAAAAATGTGTGAAGGAAATAAATTTTCTTAACACTAACGCACACATACTGGCCATATTATAAATACTTTTTTTGTGGTTTGTGGTTCGCTCTCGTTTGCTTATTGCTGTACTGAAAATTTATTCGATTTTTATTGTCCCTAAAACTCTGAATGATGATAGTGTTTTTGGGGAAGAATGAGAATTGGGAAAAAGAGGGGGCGAAAATTATTGCAATACAAACATCTTCTTAAATATAGAGAAAACCGAAAAAAAGAAAAGAAAATAAATCGAAGAAAAACACCAACAACAACAACAACAACAAAGATATACAGGTTTAGTTTGAAAGTTAAAGTTATGCAATAATAATGGCTATTTTCACACACACACACATATCAACGACAATTTACTATCGAAAATAGTGAGAAAAATAAAAATATCTTCCTTTTTTCGTTCACTCTCTTTTTGGCTAAATGGTGATAAATTGTTGAATGAATTTTGCTATTTTTTTTTGGGTTTAGATTTTTTTTTGTTTCTTTGGTGCACTTTTTTTTAAAGTGAGAATAAAAAATACATTGATCGTCATCGCCATCATAGATTATTATTACGTAGAAAATGATAACGATTCGTTTTTCACCATCAACCAAACATCATTTGAAACATTTTATTTTATTTTAAGCCAGCCAGATAAGAGAAAGAAAGAAATCTTCCCAGAAATAAAAAAGAAAATTTACTTTTTGTTTTAGTTTTCGTTTCGATTTGATTCGATTGGAAAACGGAACAAAAAAAAATAGTTCGGCTATTTTGACTTTTCTTCTTCTTTGTTTCAACATAATTTCCAATGATGACGATAGCAAAAAATGATAATATTAAGTGAGCGAAGGGGGAGGGGGAAATCCTAAAAATTTTTCAAATTTTCAAATTTTTTTCGTTTGTTTATTTTTCAACTTAAAAAAATGATCACCATCCATGATGATGATGTTTGCATAAAACAATTGCCAAATTTTTTACCTTTTTTATTCTGCCACTATTTTTACCCAGCCAGTAACCGTAAAATGATGACAATGTTAGTGGTAAATGATGATTAATTTTGAAAAAAAAAAATTTTTTCAATCAAAAAAGAATAATAAATTCTGAAAGAAAGAAGAAGAAAAAAAAATCAAATCCAATTATAATTGATGACGAAAATATAAAATATAAAATATAAAAAATACAACCAAGCAAGCAGAAAATCCTTGAAAATTATTATTATTATTATTAGGTTTTTTTTGTCATTCTAAGACATTTTTTTCTGCTCTACTTTACGTTTTGGTTTTGGTTTGATTGAAATGAATTTACAGGTAATTGAAAAAAAAAGAAAGAATGAAAGTAGGAAGCAGCAGCAGCAAACTTGAATTTATTATTCAAGAATAATAATAATAAATTGAAAAGTAATAAGAATTTCAATTTCATTTCTTCATTTTCATTTTCATTTCTTTGATTGGTTTGTTGGTTGGTCTTATTGTCATTGTTTGCCATCTTTTTCTATATGATGATGATGATGATGATGCGTAAAACTGTAATTGTATCAGTGAATGAATGAATTGAATGAAGTGAAAAAAAACAAAATCTGATTTTGTTTATGATTCTTATGAAGAATTTTTATTGAATTTCTTTAGAGAATCGAAGAGAGAGAAAGAAAAATCAAAACAACAAAAAAACAACAAAAAAAACAGCAGCAGCAGCAGAAAAAACAATAACAATAATCATTGATTCTTGATTCTTGTTTGTTACTTTGAATTTGATTTTTTTTTATTATTGTAAATTTTGCACCTAAAATATTCTTGTAAGAATTTTTAAAGCTTTATTTTTTCGAAAATTCTTGTCAATTTATTTTTAGAAACGAAAAAAAACGACAATAAAAACAACAACAAACGATAACAAGCCGTTTACGATTTTCGTTTTTTTTCTCGTTATTATAAACTAATTTTTAATGTCTCTCTCTCCTTCTCCCAAATCTTTTGTATTTACAAGAAAAGAAATATAATATTTATCTATTTCGACATATAAATGTTTATATAGTCGTTGTTGTTGTTATTCTGGCCTAAAACCAAACAACAACAACAACAACAAAAACACGCGAATAATACATTTATTTTGTTTTATTGAACGAAAATCCAGAACCAGAAACTCTTTTATGATGAACAGTAACAACCTTTTTTCCTTCTTTTTATTATCAAATGTTATGTAATGTTATCAACAGAATTTTCAAGAATTGAATTGGTTCATTCTTTGAATCGAATTGAACAAGGCACCAACAAACAAACAAACAAAAATCCACTTAAATTTTGTTTGACAGTTGATAATGATGATGATGATGATGATAATGACAATTACCGGAGTAATTTTGTTTTTTTGCCTTTCTATCAAACCAGAAGAAAAAAAAGACGGAAATTAAATCGATATGTTCATCATCATCATCATCGACGACGACAAATCGGGTGTTGCTGTTGCTGTTGTAATATCCTGGCCTTGGCTCCGGTAATGGATGATTTATTATTCAGCCATAAATGTTTTTTCTTTATCTTTTTGTTTCTGTAATCATTTTTTTTCTTCATTTGAATTCTTGAATCTTGAAGATGGTGATGATGATGGAAACCAGAAAACAAACAAAACAAAAAAAATTGATTTGTAAATGTCCAATCACAAACAAAAAGAATAGGCATACTTTTTCGGTTTTTTCGGTTGTTTATTGTCATTTTAGATAAACTAAATACATAGGAAACACACACACACACAGAGAGTATTTGGAAAAATCCTAATCATCAACGTCAAAATCCAAATATCATTTCTTTGCTTTGGTTTCCCTTGATTCATTCATTCATTCATTTATCCATGCTTATTATTATTAAGCTTTTTCTTTTGGATTCCTAAATATTTTCTTCTATCATCATCATCATCATCATTAAAATTGAAACCCAGAAAAATCCAAGTGTATGGATAGATAGATAGATAGATAGATAGATGGATGGATGGTAGGTGTATCGAGTTTTCAAAGTTAACAACAAAAAGATATTTGAATTTGTCATTACAATTTTATTAAACCTGAATATCAAGAATCAAGAATCAAATCTTTTTTTTTCTGTTGGCCGAATTTAGTCCACCAAAAAACCAAACCAAATGATAATAATAATTTTGTTTTCCAATAACACCACCCACCCACAATCCAAAGTTATTATTTTCTCTCTCTCTCTCTCTCTCTTGACGTTGTTCAATAATAATAATAATAATCTCCAACGACCGACCGACCGACCAAACCAAACCAAGCAACCAATCCAAATCAATTGAAAATGGAATGCCGGGTTAAATGACGACAAATGAAAACGATAATGATAATGATAAAAAAAAACTCATTGAAACACATACACCGACACACACATACACAGAGCTAGAGAATTTGATAAGAAAATACATTCTTTCAAGTTTCTGCAACAAGAAAACGAAAAAAAAAAAATAACCGAAATGATTGGGCGAATTGAATACCGAACCATAAAACAAAAAATACCCGGCCAAAATGAAACGAACATTCGGAATTAATGATCATTATGATGATGATGATGATTATTGTACACCCTGTATATATGATTAATTAACATTTTTTATACAAAAAAGATTTACATTTATATCATTAATATATATTTTTACTTTTCATTTATTTAAATATTTTTTTTATATTTGTTTTCCGGAAAGTTTTCCAAAACGGAAACATTCTGTTTGCTTTGTTATTGAGTCATTCATAGAATTTGTTACCGAATTTTTCTTTATCAATCATCATCATCATCATCAGGTTTTTTTTCTTCTTATTGATTGTATTCTCATTATCATTATTGTTTTTTGTATGTTCATTATGTTCAATTGTTGTTGTTGTTTTCGATTGATTATTGTCGATTCATTTTTAATGATTCCAATGAGTCAATATGGTTGTTATTTTGATGATGATGATGATGATGATAAAATAATCGATGAAATCGATTATTCTGATTGAATGTAAACAATTGTTGTTGTTGTTGTTGTTTTTGAACATTCGATCGACGATTATTATGATGATTGGTAATGGATCGATTTATCCATGTTGATAACAATGACAATTTTGATGCAGACGAAGACGAAGAAGAAGACAAAGTAGAATTGGAATAGGAATTGATTGAATTAGATTTTTTCAATTTTCTAATATCGATTTGTTCGCATCTTATAATTGGAATGAAAGAACAAAAGAAGAAAACAAAGGAAAATCAAAGAAAGAAAGAAAGAAAATTAATTATCAAATGCACGAAAAAAAACGAAAAATATACTTTTACTTACCTACAGCTTACATAATTAAAATGTAAACCTAATGGACAATTTTGATGTAATGATATTGAATTTGTTTGATTTGTTAATGTTGTTGTTGTTGGTAATGGTAATCTACATTGACATTGACAATTAATTTCATTCCATTGATGAAATGTTGGTAATATTTTTTTATTTGAATTATTGTTTGATTGATTTTTTCTTAAACATTTTAAACGATCATTTAATGAACAAACACAACGACATTCATTTTCAAGATAAATTTGTCCATATTGACAATCATTTGATTTTTGTATACATTCACAACCACATTTTTGATGATATTCAATTGAAATATTTTTAATACTATTAAAACGATATTTTCTTTGTTCATTTGAATATTTTATATGTATTATTGATATATTTCGATTGATTATTGATTTTGGACGACAAATTAATCGTTGTGATGGACAACAACCACTACAACGTGGTAAACGTATACAATGTGGATAATATAAATCATGATTATTACCTACGGCAGTTGTAATCAATTGTATTGTTTGTAATTCCGGTAAACATTCAGCTTGTGGTTGTATATTGGCTATTGGAAAAATTTCTGACCAAAAAAAGAAAAAGTTTCCGGTAAATTTCGGTAAGATCCAGATCAAAGTATAACATACCTGTACGTTTTATTCTTTGAATTTTTGATTTTTTTATCGTTTCCGAATCAGGAATTGAATCATTTTTTCCAATTTTCAAATGATATTTGCTAAGATTTTCTTGTTGATTATTAAAATCACCATCACTGTAAACAATACCAACATTATAGAATCTTGCAAATTCATTAAGAAAATTTTTAGCCGTTTGTGGATGTTGATGATATTTTCCTTTGGTTATTGATCTTTGGTTAGATTGTTGAAATGTTGTATCTAATCGTCCAATTTTTATTAACATTTGTTCAAATGTTGTTAATGATTTTGGTTTCAATTGATTTGATTGAATATTCATTTCAATCAACATCATAATGATGATAATGAAAATTTTTTGAAACATTTTTTTTTTCTTTGAAACTTGATGTTGACCGTTTGATGGTTGGCAATGTTATGATGTAAATGATTTCTCCAGAAACAAAGCGGAAAAAAAATTGGATCAGGATTTATTTAGGAAACAACGAAAAAAATTAGAACCCGGATCAAGGATTGAAAGCAAAAAATACAGATGCAGATGTCACATATTCAAAAATGCATTACGGTACTTATTCCCTGCACCTGGCTTGGCCATGCAGCTTTTTCTTTCTTTCATTCTTTTGCTTGACCATAATTGTCATACTTGAATGATTTCAACAGAAAAAAAATTGATTTCTGGATCAAAGTAGGATTTTTCAAATTGAAATTATAAAATGTTTTTTATTAATTAATTAATTACAAATTACTTATTGTATTTATTAAAAATTATAAAAAAAAATTTATAAAATATTATTTGTTTTTTGTTTAAAACATTTACAACTATTTTGATCAAGATAATGTCCATTTGGACAATAATATTGATTATTCATTGATAATAATGGATTTAAATGATGAATATATTCATAATAGAATTGTGGACAACGACATTCACAACGATCATTATCCCAAAACATATGACCATGTCTTGTAAAACGTTTTGAACAATCAAATTGTTCATCAGCTAAATCTAATCTACATTCACATTGACATGAATCATTGAAAAATTGTTTTCGATTATTTTCACATTGTTGTTGTTGTTGTCGACAATAACATTGACAACCAGTATGATATGCAATTTGTATTTTACGATATTCTAATGATTTCTGTATTTTATATTGATCATATGATTTTATTGTTTGTATTATTGTTTTATATTGAATATTTGTTGGTCGACATTCGGATTGATTCCATTCATCGTTATTGATATTTTGTTGCAAACGATTTATCGAACAATAACCACCATTGTTACAACGTGGTATACGAATAAATCTTGGTTGATAAATTTTATGATCATTACCATTATTAAATAATGAAGAATAATTCCATTCTGGCACAAGATTAATTGTTTGATATTCAAGTGAACAAGGTAGTTTAGATTGACCATTAATGGTCATAAGAATCATTATAAAAAACAAAATTATAATTAAAATGTTTGACATTATTAATTTTAATCAATCAATTTATAACCACAGAAAAAAAAAGTTAACAACAACAAAAAATTTATTTCAAATTAGATTTCAATTTCAATCAATTTTTCATACAAATCAAATGATTCATTTATATTATCAGATAATAATAATTCACAAATATTATTATTTAAATGATATTTTCGTATAAATTTATTCATCAATGAATATTGTTGTTGTTGATTAAAATAATGACGATTTTTATGTTGTATTAATTCATTTAAACATGATGCTAATAGTTGAATATAACCATTATTTGATTTATTCATTAATGAATTGATAATAATTCGAATGGTTTGAATAGATTTTTGTTGACTATCCATTGGATTCTGATTAAACATCATATCACCATCAACATTTTTAGATAATTTCCAATCGGTTAAAGTTTTGTCAACATTAAAATCATCGTTATCGTCATCATCATCATCTGGATTAGGCCATCGTGGATAAAATTGTATACATTTTCGAGTTAAATATAAAAGAACAATTGCCTGAATAGTAGGCAATACAGTTGCCAATGATAAAAAACGACAAACAAAATTCATTAAACGATTTAAAGGAAAATGTTGACGAATTGATTTGATGATCATTGCATGTATACATTGTATATACATTGAAAATGTTTGTTGTTGTTGTTGTTGCTGTCCATCAATTATTTGATCTATAGGAAATTCATATAAAAATTGATATAAATGTTTAAAATCAAATTGATTTGTAGTTGTTGTTTTGTTTTCAATACGTGACATTAATGTATAAATATTTTTCATTAAAATCAATTTATCATATGGTTGAAATTTTTCAATCAATTCGGATTTTTCAATAAATAATTTCAATTTTTTTATCCAAGCATATGAAAATTCTTCATTCGAATATAATGCTAAATGATTGATTGATTCCAATGAAATTGATAATAATGGACGATACCATCGATCAAAATCTTTACAATTATGATTTGATTTTGATAATGATGATTCCTGAATAATTGTTATAAATTTCATAAAAAATGCATATAAAATTTCATGTATATTCAATTCATGACGTTGACGAATTTCATCATTTTCGGTTGCTTCAGTTTCCAATAATTGTTTTTCTAATTGTTTCATTTTTTTCGCTTGTTTACGATCACGTTTAGATTGTTGATTATTTGATTTACCATTTTTTTCAATGGTTTTTGAATCTTGATCTCGAATTTTACGATATAATATATTAGCAAATACAGACATTGTAATTGGACGAATACGATAACGTAAATCTTGAATCATTTTGGTTAATAATTTTACAAAAACAACGGTTGTTTCACCTAATAAATCTTTACGAAATAAATTTTTCAATCCATCATAGATAATTTGTTGCATTTCATTTGTAGCCTGATTACTACATAATATTTTTGCTGCTAAATCCACCAATGTTTCACGACAATTAAAATCATAATGTCGATTGATTAATTCGCTTAAACAACGACAACCAATTGTTGCTAAACGTTGTCGAGCTTCAACAGTTGTTAACATTGTTCGATAAAAATCTGAATCACCTTGTTTTTTTGAATCAATAACCGATCCAATTGAACGTTTCAAACGTTTTAAATATTCTTGATAATATTGTAATAATCGATTTTCAAAATCCAATACATGACGTGTTTCATCTTTTAATTTTAAACTTGTTTGTTCACCACGTTTATAGATACTGGCATAAAGAACGAAATGAAATTGAATTGAATGTTTTGTTCAGGAAAAACAACTACTTACCGATAATTTGGAATGATATCCAAAAAAATTACATTCAAAGTAATAAATGTAAGTTTTTGTATGGAGAAAAAAGCCGAACCAATTCGTGGATCATCACGAGTTGTAATCAAAATATCTAACAATGGTTTAATTCGATTAATATTATATTGTGGATCGGACATAACACGTTCACTTATATTGGACAAAAATTTTCGATATTCTTGAATCGTTTTATGACGTTCGGCAAATTTTTCCACCAATGTGGCCGTTGCTTTTTTGATCGGTTTTTTACCAGTTACCGATGATTTCCGATTAGCATCATCATTATCATCATCCTCAGCCATCATTTCAAAATCATTTTCGTCTTCGTAAACCATTTCACTCGTTAATTTTTGTGGTTTCATAATCAACATTTGTATCAAACAACGTGCTCAAAAAAATCAAATCACGTTGTTTTACGAGTTCGAATTCTATTTCCACACATAGTGATCGACCAATGTTAATTTAGACCAGTGTTGAACGAATTATTCGAATTGAGCAGTCATTTGATTCGCTGAATTTAGTGAATTTTTTTTTGAAAACAAAACATTCGTGTTTTGTTTATTTATTTATTTATTTATTCACTTTATTTGGACAAAAATGTATCAACCAGATGAACGTCAACAAAATTTCATTATTTATGGTCTATTTGGTCTATTATTGGGCATAATATCATTACCGTTTATTATACATCAACAACGTTTGACAAATGATTTTTCAATAAAAAAATCTCAATCAGCAAAATGTTTACGTCAAAATGAAATTCTATTTACAACCGAAGAATTAGCTCAGCATACAAAATTACCATCAATATTATTAGGATTTATGGGTGTAGTTTATAATGTAAGTAATGGACATTATTATCATCCAGGTGGATCATATTCATTTTTTGCTGGACGTGATGGAACTCGTGCCTTTTTAACCGGTGAATTTGATACTGAAAATGAATTACGTGATGATATTAGTGATCTAGATGAAAGCTATTTAAATGGTATGGAAACATGGATAAAATTATATGAAGATAAATATCCACGTATTGGATTAGTAATTGGTAGCTATTATGATGAGGATGGTTGTGCAACACCAAAATTACATCGTGTTAGACGAATGTTATCCAAATCGGTAATAAATAAACAAATGGAAACAGATGAATTGAATAAATATCCACCATGTAATTCACAATGGGATGCACAAACAAATTTAGGACGTGTTTGGTGTACGAAATTAAGTGGAGGTATTCAACGATCATGGACCGGTAGACCAAGATTATTTTATGATTTATATCAGAAAAAATGGCGTTGCGCATGTGTTAATCAAAACGATGATGATGATGAAAATAATATTGATTATTGTGATCAACAACAACATCAATCCGGACCAAATTCAATTGGGATGCAATATTCTGATGATGATAACGATGATGACAAACAAGCGGCGACACCTGGTTGTCGTTTTAAACATTATGAAAATTGTGATCCAAAATCATTGGAATGTCCAATCACGTCATAAACGATTCCAAAACGATCCCAAACAGCAAACGAACAGTTATTTTGTGAAACAAAATTTGATTTTTATTTATTCATTTTTTATATTGAAAAAAACCAAACAAAAAAAAGTTTATTCGAAATATTTTTATTTTTATTTAAAATTTAAAATTTAATAATTTGAAAACAACAAAAAAAAACATTATGGTGATTTTAAAAAAAAGGACAACCAATTGATTTCCGTTGATGTTTCTGTGTTGAATTTGTTTCTGTGTTGGATGTGTTGGTGCATTATCGTTATCGTTATCGTTGAACATTTTGATTATAACATTAATAATAACAATTTGAAAATCAGAAATGAAAAAGAAAGAAAAAAAAAAGAAATTCAACTTGAGCAGCTAACAGAACAGAAAAAAAAATTTTAAAGAAAAAAAGAAAAAAACAAAATAAAAAATGAAATGAGCAGTTTGGGGAACAAAAAAAAAACACCTTAAGGGTTAAAAAAAAAATTCTAATGAAAAAAAAAAAATTCTCTGCAATTTCCGTCTGTTTTTTTGTTTTTTGTTTCGTCTGTTATTGATCAATTGTGTGTGTGTGTGTGTGTGGGTGTGTCTTAACGGAAATACCCAACAAAAACAAGACTGATAAGATAAGATAAGTGTGGGCGTGTGGGCGTTTCATCATCATTATTATAATGATCATTATTATTATTATTATTAAAAAAATGATGATGATGCTGATGATGAAAAAAAAAAAAATTACAATTTGAATGGCACTTGAATTCGAAAGTTTTTTTCAGTTTTCTTGTTTTTGTTTTCTGTTTTTTTGTTTGTTTGTTTGTGAATTGTGTATGTATTTACCTGTGCGTAAATGATTGGGGGTGTAGGCGTGGTTTACGGAGGGTGTGTGTGTGTTCTGTTTGATTTTGATTATTAATGGAAGCCAAAGAATTTGTAATTTGAAGGAATTTTTTTTTTCGCCAGTGAAAAAAAAAATTCCATTGAATTTAGCTATTGCCAGCTGTACGCATTAAATGATGATTATTATTATGATGAGAATTAGGATGAGGATGATGATGATTATCATATGGATGATAACGATGATTATTATGTTGTGTCAATGTTGATGATGTTGTTGATGTTGATGTTATCGATGATGATGATGATGATCCATTAACAGTACCAACAGAATTCATTAGAGCAACATTACGTAAACCATTTAACGATGGATTACTGACCATTATGGTTTGTCGTTTTTCTTTTAATCCTATTGGATTTTATTTTATTTTTTGGGAAAAAAATAGAAAAAAATATTCGAAAATAGCAACAAAAAAAAAATGGATTTTTTTCCCCCACAATTATTTGAGCCAGGGATGTTTCAATGTTAATTTTTGTTTTTTGAATTAGTAGTAGTAAGTAGTAGTAGTTGTTGTTGGTTAGAAATCCGCAAATAAAAAAAATTGGATGTTGATTGATTGATCGATCAAAGATGATTGGTTGTAAACAAAACAAAAAAAAATCGTTAGTTTCAATGAGAAAAAAAATGGACATTAACGATGACAAACATAAAGATTATATAATGATGATGATGATGATTATGGGAAGAATTTGGTTGTTGGTTTTTAGTGAATGAAGATGAAGAATTTTGTTTTAATATTTATAGAGAGAGTGAGAGAGAGTGAAATGGAATAAAAAAGAAAGAAAAAAAAGCAAGCATTAGTCATTTGAATTTATAAAAAAAAAATTAAACATTTTGATTAATTAATTAACTTAAAAACTTAATTTTTTTTAATTTATAAAAAAAAGAATCAATAATTTTTGGGGTAAGTTTGTAAAAAGTATAAGTTTGAGTAAGTATAAGTGTGATGCAAGCAAATCTTGAAATCAAAAAGCCCATTCAAATACCCTTGGCTCAATGAATTACCAAATAAAACTTTGATTAAAAACATTGAAAATAATAATCGATTTGAAATAATTTTAATATTGAAAAAAAAACAGACAACAATAATATCATTATAATAATAATTACAATTACAAACAAACAAACAGAAGAAAAAATGAACATCAAAACATTTTTTAAAAAAAAAAAGTTTCATCAACATTCACAGCAGAAAAAAAAAATCTTTGGATTCATCTTAATCATCATCATCGAACCATGGATAAAATTGAGTATTTGGTTTTTTTAAAGGTAAAATAATATCGAAGAGGAAAATCGATGAAGAAAATCGATTTTCCCGTTGCTGTTATTATTGATTAGGTGGGCGTCTTACATTCACAGAGAGTGAGAGAGAGAGAGTGAGAGAGATTCATTATTTCAAATGATTTCTTTGGGCTAAAAAAAAAAATCAAACAACAACAGCAACGATGCAAATGACATTCTTGTATGAAACTAAACTAACAAACTAAATGAATGAATTTGACAGGTAAGGTACAATTTTGCACAAAAGAAAACAGGTGAAAAATGAATTTTCATTTCTCGATCAGACTTTTGGATTATTTGCCTGATTTTTGAGCTTTTTGAGCTGCCTTTTTTGAGAGAGAAAAAAAAGTAGAAAAAAAAAATTTGAAATTAAGTATATCATATTCGTATCTTGAAAACAAAACAGAAAAACCTGATTATCTTATTGACCAGATTGATTTGAATAAAACAAAAAACATTTTGGTTATAAAAATTCAAAAAAAAGTAATAATAAAAAAACGATCAATTTGAATTATAGGTCACCAATCATTCAGAAAAACTTGCAAACAAACAAAAACTAGAATAACTAAAATTCACAAAAAAAATTCAAATCGATCAAACAAAACATCAACTGGGACAAGAAATGAATCGAAATAAATAAAAAAACTAAATAAATTTTTCGATTTGCAATTTGTGAAAAAAATTGATCGATAAAAACAATGGAAACAAAACAAAAATGTTGATTATGAGGATTGCCATTTTGTTTGTTTGTTTGTCTGATCTGAATTGTTTTGTTTGTTTGGTTGTTTGTTTTTGGTTGTTGTGAATTTGTTTTTCTAAAAGCTAATTTCAGGTTTCCGAAACAAAAAACAAAATTTACAATCCATCATCATCCAAAAATGTAATGTTTTTTATCCTTACAAACTCTACTAAAAGTAAAAATCTTTCGTTTGTTTTGTTTTGTTTTTCTTTCTTTGTTGTAATTTTAAAAAACTGAATAATTATAATTATAACTTTTAAGATTTTTAACTAATAAGTTGTTAACCCACCGGATGTGGTTGATGATGATGATGATGATGCTGATGATGATAATGTTGATGCGGCTGCTGCTGCTGCTGTTGATTGATCTGATTGCAGAATAGGCTGACCACCACCACCAACTGCTGCTGCTGCTGTTGCAACTGCATTTTGATAATCAAGTAATTGTGCAGCAGCTAATGATGCTGCATATTGATGATGAAATTCAGCAGCCGTTGTTGCATATTGATGCGGATGATGTGGATGTGTATGATGATTTAATGCAGATGGATGTACATTTGTTGTATATAATAATGTACCATCAGGTGTACTAGTTGCTGTTATTAATTGTGGTGGAAGTGATGCAGCAGCAGCAACAGCTGCTGCTTGCATTGCTGCTGCAGCATTTCCATTCAATAATGCTTGATGTGGATGTGGATGAACCAATGATTGATGCGGTGATGGTGATGCGGCAGCTGTATGAGCAAATTGACGGGCTGTTGGTGGTGTACCGGTCAAAATAAGTGGTGCACCAATTGGTGATGGCTGATGATGATGATGATGACTTGAATGATGACCGGGTGTCAAAGGATGATGACGTTGAAGATGTGAATGTGGATGTGTAGCAGCAGCAGCTGCTGCTGCTGCTGCTGCTAATGCCATCGGTAAAGAACCACCACCACCACCAGCAAGGTTTCCATTTCCATTATTGGCAAACAAACCTAATTGTTCAGGATCTAATCCCATATTTACTAAATGTTGTGCGGCAATTAGATTTGGTGATGTTGCTGTTGCAACAACATTATTATTGGCTGTAATTGGACAGAAAAAAAATCGATAATTTTTTTCTGAAAAATCAAAAGAAGACAAAAAAAAACTAACCAGAATTATTTCTTTGACCAGAATCACGATAAGTTCCATTAATAATGGCCAATTCCATTAGTTGTCGTTTTTTAAGCTCATCTTCACCTTCAGTCTTTAAAAAAAAAAATGAAAAACAAAAAATTTGAATTCAATTTGTCAAGTGTAATAGATCACTTACAATTGGAACTAATAATTTTTTTACTTCTTCAATTGCACGTTCCATTTTTAATTGTGCACGATTTTCAGTATCTTCAACAGTAATCAATACATGTAATTTATCATTTAAATGTTCCCAATTTGGTTTACCACGATTTTGTTCTTCCTAATTATGTTTGAAGGAAAAAAATTTGTCAAATCAATCAATCAATCAAATCAATGAAAAAAAAAACAAACAACAAACCTTTTTTTTGTCACGCATTGAACCACGTCCACGTACCATAATTTTACAACCAGTTTCTTGTTCTAATTGTTTGGCTGTCATACCACGTGGTCCAAGTATTCTTCCAACAAAATTAAACTACAATTTTGTAAATCAATTTTACTTTCAACAACCAAAACAAAAACAATAAAAAACTTACATCAGGATGTTCATCAACAGGTACATAAACTTTTTCCATTTTATTTACAATTGAACTACCATCTGGTTCGGGTAATATTAATGGTTTATGTTCATCATTATTAATCTGAAATAATGAAGCTCGTACACGGGCAATTTCTGTTGATGTTGATGATAATGTTGATGATAACAACAATGGATAAAAATTTGTATTGAACAGATAATACATTTGTGATTGAATCAATGGATGGATTGAGAAAAAATAAAAGAAAATAAAAATGAAAGTTGCTGCTTGTGAGGATAATAATTTTGTTTTTTTGGAACGATCGATGATCAATTGATCAACAACAACAACAACAACAACAAAAAGATTGATTGATTGATAATCGGTGGGGGAGAAAAACAAGGGGAAAAATTTTTTCGCACAACATAAAATTCTTGTGATGATACGGTAAGATAATGAATGAATGAATGTGGATAACAAATCATAAATCAATGCTGCCAATAACAACAACAACAACAACAACAAAAGAAAGATGTTAAGTTTTTTGTTGTTGTTCGGTTATTTTTAACCCAAACAGTTATCAGTTCATTGATATATATATTGTCCGATACACTGATAATAATAATGATTTATTGTTAATAATAACCGAATCAAACAACAACAACAACAACAACAACCGAACAACAACAACAACAAGCATGCATTGAAATTTCAAAAAAAAAGAAAAAACTTAATATCTTTCTTGATTACACACACAGAAAAAAAAACCGAAAAAATTTATATACCGTGTTTCGTAAAGACGACGAAGAAGAAGAATTTCTTTTTCTTTTTTCCCCTTTGATTGTCGATTTAGCTATTTCATTTTTCTTTTTTGTATGAAATACTTTATTTTCATGTTTTTTTTTTAAAAAAGAAGTAAAGCTACCGGGTTTTGTTTCGTTTTCTACTGAATGATGATGTATGTATGTTCGTATATGTGCCAAATAATAAATCTTGAACAAAATTCTCATTTTTCACATTTTAACCCGTTTTTTTCCCGTTGTTGTTGTTTAGAGAATTTATTTTTCTCCCTGATGATGAAAAGAATCTTTGAATTTCATAGTGTCTGTATGTCTTGTGTGAAAGAATAAAATGACGACAACAACAAAAAAATCTAATCCTTTACTTTCCATCTCTCTCACTCTCTGTGATTCTAATATTGATTGCATAGACATTTTTTTTATACAGTTTTGTCATCATCATATAATTGTCCTTTTCACTCAATTTATGTTTATGTTTGCAATGAAATGAATAGAATGAAATGAAATGAAAAAAAAATATTCGTCATCAACGAGTTATTCAAGTGAATTAAAACAGCTAAAATAAACAGAATTTTTTTTACTTTTTCTTTCACTTTTTCACTCGCTGGCAAACCACAATATTTTTTTGGTTGACAAAACAAAATGAATTTTTTTTGTTTTTTTGGAAATAAAAAATGAAATCAACCACCCACACAATCAACAATGGATGAAATCAAAAACAAAAGAAGAAAAAATGAAATGAAATTCATTTTAGAAACAAAATTAAAAAACAGAAAACAGAAAATGATAATCAATTAATCTTTTTCTCAATGATTTAAGATTGTTTTGTCTTCCTCGGAAAACTATAACTACAGAATTTGATAATTCATTCATTCTGTTCATTCTGTTTAGTTTATTTAGGGAAACAAACAGACAGAAAAAAGAGTTAATTATTCACATTTGTCAACATCATCATCATTGTTTCTTTTTGTTCATTTTAATTTCATTTTGAATGCAAAATGTAAAATTTTGCAAACACAGAATGCAGAAACACTTTGAATTTTTTTTTCTATTTTTTTTCGGTTGTTGATAATGTTGATGATGATAATCAATTCTGAATTTTGAAACAAATAAACTATTTTAACTTCTAACGATAATAATTCTATTTCTACCCAACCATTCCTTTCTTTTGCCCCTCCAGTCTGCAAAAATTCTTTTGTTTTGTCGCTTTTTTTCATTATTCATCATCATTGTTGCTTACATTGCACATTGAAAACAAATATTAAAGAAAAGAAAAGAAAAATTCTTTACTTCACTATGGTCGTTGTTGTTGTTGTCGAAAGAAAAAGTTAATTAATCATATTCATTCCATTCATCATCATCATCATCATCAAGAAGAAGAAAAAAAACGTCGAGACAAAAAAAAAATAAAACAAATCGAGCGAAAGCGAGAAAAATAAACGCAAATCAGGCAATCGCATAATAATGCAACAACAGAAAAAAAACATTATGTAATAATGAAATTCATACGGGGGGAAAAAATAAAGATTTTATCATTTTTTCGGGAGGGGAAGGAAAAGGGGGAAGATATATCAGAGAAAATTCAATCAATTTATTGATTTGATTTGATTGATTGATTGATTGACATCGATATTTTCGATTATAAAGATTTTTGAAAAAAAATATAATACCAATATGCGTGTATGGTGTTAAAATGTTTGTCTGTTTGTGTGGTTTTTTTTCCTTATTTGATTCTGTATTAGATTCTGTAGATTCTTAGTCAAACCGAGAAAAAAAATGTCGACATGGTTAACAACAACAACAACGATTCTTATATGATCGATGATGATGAATTAAATGTTTGAATTTGACATTTACACACCAGACACACAACAGAAAAAAGTGTTAAATTCAAATAACGACAAAAAAAAATGCTAAAACTTTTATGAATCGTTGTCGACTTATAGAAATCTCAATCTCAAAAAATGATTGAAAAAAAACCAAAATCCTTTATAGTCATGTTACAGCATATTTTTTTTTTTTTTTTTTTTTTTTTTTTTTTATTTTTTTTTTTTTTT